CCTCAGCCTCCCAAAGGCGCGGGATTACAGGCTGAGCCACCGAGCCTGGCTAGTTCAAACTCTTTTTGTCCTATCATATTTCTCCACAACTCTCCACTCTTCATCAAATCTGCTAGAGAAACACGAGGGTTTACCTGTTTCTTCGAATCTTTATTTCCTTATGAAGGCTACTGTGTCATGTAACACTTTACATTAAATAAATATGTATGCTTACCTCTTGTTAATCTGCCTTTTGTTATAGGGGCCTCCACCATGAATCTAAGATGTTCAGAGGAAAAACTACTTTTCCTCCCCAATAGCAACATGAAAGGACTAGAGAACAGCGACCATAACTGCATATCCCTGATTATGTTAGTTAAATGCTATAATTTTTTTCCAGCTACAGGATGGCTTTTGTCTCTGTGGTTAAGGAGCACAGCACCTCCCTACATCTGGATCTGTGTTTGAGGATCACAGCAGCTCATTAAGGAAGAACCAGTCATCTATGGTCAGCAAATTCCACAGGGAGCTTGAACTTGATGGTCACGAGGACTCAGACATGCATGTTGGTTCAAGATCCAGAAAACACCCAGCAGCGCCATTAAAAATGCTAACGTACTCTGTACATTTGCCTTGAAATCCTATCTGCTTCAGATCATATTTTCGCTATGATTTATGAGTCAGCGGCATGAAAGTCTTCCATCCCAGCAAACATGCTCATAGGTCCAAGGGTTGGAGAAATAATTTGCATAAGTATGTGATTTTTCCAAATTTGAATATATGAGATGCTCTGATTACCTTGAGTCACATATAACATTCAAACTAGGACTGATTATTAACATATTTACTCCATTTGGGGCTCCTCTTGCTCAGTTCCAAATAAAAGAGCACACTGATCAACTCCACTAGAGTTCTATAGATCTATGAAGATGATACTGCTAAGAAGTCTTTCATGCCGACCCATCTTTAGCCTTGGGAAAGCTTTTGTTGACTTGCAGCAATAAAAGTCTGAATTCCACCAGGCATGGTGGCTCACGCTTATAATCCCAGCACTTTGGAAAGAGAAGGCGAGAGGATTGCCTGAGCCCAGGGGTTTGAGAACAGCCTGGGCAACTTGACAAGACCTCATCTCTACAATAAATCAAAAAATTAGTCAGGGGTGGTTGTGCATGCCTGTAATTCCAGCTACTTGGAAGGCTGAGGCAGAAGGATCACCTGAGCACAGCAGGTCAAGGTTGCAGTGGCCGTGAGCATGCCA